AGACACGACATACACACACACACTCTCTCTCTCTCCCCCCCTCCACACACACGCACACACACACACACACACAGACACACACACACACACACCAGCCTTCTCCCCTCCTCTGTTCTCGTGCTTACGTGTGGTCCTGGATTGGCTTAACGGATTGGATCTGTTCAATGGGGCAGCGGCCCATCAGGTCCCCGGCCTCCGTCGTGTAATACGAGAAGTAGCGATCGGTGAGCACGAACCACCGCGTCCGATCACGCGAGCCAAAGCCTTGCAGCTTACACATGTACCCTTCTGTGTACAGGTGGCCCGTGTCCTCCTGTGTGCCGCGCGAGCTGTCTGTTGTCTTTTGCAGGCACAGCAGCCATCTGTTCTTCGCCTGGCAACACACAGAGAGAACGGAAGGCGCAGTGGTTGGTGGCAGTGCTGGAGGGGGGGGGGAAGGAGGCACCGTCATTGATGCAGCCATATGTGCATGGGAGTGGGGCACACTGGCAGACAGGCAGACAGGCAGGTAGGTTGGCAGGCAGATGGGCACACACACATGCAGAGAGAGACACACACACATACATCCACACACATCCCCCCTTCCACACACATACACACACGCACACACACACATGCATCCACACACATCCCCCCTCCCACGCACATACACACACGCACACACATGCATCCACACACATCCCCCTCCCACACACATACACACACGCACACACACACATGCATCCACGCACATCCCCCCTCCCACACACACATGCACACACATGCGTACACATCACACCTCTGGAGTGCTGGCTTCGAGGATCATGCTGCTTGCGCCGCTGGCACCAAACGGTTTGTGTGTGGAGATGAGGAAGCGGTACTTGGAGATGTCGCGGACATCAGACACGTGATCGCGGTGGATATAAGAGATGAGGCTGCCACCATCGGCGGAGAAGAAGGCAATGTGGTTTGCTGTCACCCGGAACCACCTCCTCCTGTTCTGCGCAAACCCGCGGATCTTCTTCAGGTACCCTTCGCACAGCAGCTCGTCCTCCTTGGTCGTCGGCATTCCCATAGCCAGCACCACAGAGGCAGGCACTGTGCCCGTGCCCCTCCCATCATCATCAGCCATGCTACGTGCGCTCGCGTGTATTGCAAGGCAAGAAGGGAAGAAAAGCAAGTCGTTGCGGGTTGTTGTTCTTTTTGCTTGGCAAGAAGCAAGTTTTTCGGTTGTGGTGTTTGTGTGTGTGTGTGTGTGTGTGTGTGTGTGTGTGTGTGTGTGTGTGTGTGTGTATTGTCGATGTGCGCGTGTGTCCCCTTTCCCACGGGCTGTGCATGGGCTGTGGTGTGTAATGAGAAGGGACGGAAATACGAAAGTTGAAATGGACACA